AACCACAGACCCGGACGGGCAGGGTCACTCCCCCAACGGGTGACACAGCGACAGCCACGCACGAGACCGCCACGCCCATCCCGGACACTCGCTCCCGTCGGTGTTCTTACCTCTGTTCTTGCGACTCGCCCTCCATGGCCTCCTCGGGGGCGCCCTAGGGAACAAAGACAGGCTTTAACAAAGCACCAAACGACATGGCCCTGCAAATCTCACAGGGATGCCGAGCTCATAAAATCCGTCTAAAAAAGGGCCGACCGGTGGCGTGGCAGTTAAGGCAACTGGGACCTGCAGGGCCAACCTCATGGTTCGAGTCCGGGAGCCGGTGGCTTGAAAAACATACCAGGTACAGGTGTGTATGTGTGTGCGTGTGTGTGTGTGTGCGTGTGCATGTGCGTGTGTGTGTGCGCGTGCGCACGCCCAAAATCCCAAGAGGGAGTTGAGAAAACAGGATTAGGTGTGGCCAGCTCCCGGGGGGTGATTTCTCACTTCCCCCCAATCTCTGATGAGTGTATGCACCCTCTAACAAATGTTTAAAAATTATATTTACACGCACACACAGATAAGTATAAAAACTCACATGTATATGTCTGTATTGGGTCGTCGGAAAAGTTACCATGTTTTTCTATGCAAAAATGCGTCTTTTCTGCAGACCCAATACATGCGTATCTCTGCACTGGCACAAACACCCCATCAGCATTTCTGGAAAGGAAGGCCCTGGTAACGACACGTCGAAAGCCATTAAATGCCAAGGGTCCCTGAGAAGTCGCTGTCCGAACACCACCCACCTAAAACCGCGTCACCATAATCTCCCATAGACGCCCGCCCCCTTCAAGAGCCCGATTTCAATGTTTCTGTTCAATCTCACAATATCAAGGTCACTGACAATTAAAATCCCCAAACAAAGAACAAGTATCCTTTCAGGGTCAGCAGGTGGCATGGTGGTTAAGGGCGCCAGACTCCCACATGGCCAATGGCGGTTCAAGGCCCAGACCTGACAACTTGCTTTCTCGCTCACACTCTCTCTCTCTCTCCGTCTCTCTCTGGTCAAATTAAAATAAATAAATAAAGTTAAGTAAAGTAATTTTAAAAAAGAAAAGGTATTCTTTCTAGCTCAAAGTCCCCTTTAAGGATACCTGATATATCTTGACACCAATGCAAAAAGCTGGTAACTTTATAAATGACACATTACACACAGATGCTCTTCCAAAACCGCCTGCCAGACTCACCGTGCCGAAACCGGGCCGTGGGTAACCGGCGGGCGGGTGGGAAGACAGGGCGTCTGCCCACCGATG